AAAAGAATAACTTTTTCCCCGTTTTTGCTCGAGGGGCGCTGTGCACTTCTTTATTTTATCTGCTGTTAATAATTATTGTCTTTCAAGTTCAGAACGTGCATCTATAGTTAGCAATTGGTGTGTTCGAAGTACCGAATGCTATAGAAAGGATATCGAAGGGCACTAAAGCAGTGGCGGATCCAGGAAGATGGTCCGGGGGGTCCGGACAGTACTGACAGTCATGAAATCCTATCAATAAAATTCAGCCGTGAGTGAAATAGTGAAAATGACAAGAAGACAGAGGGGAAAAAATAATAACAGATCAGTCCACTGGGTTTAAAATTGTTTAGCCTGACATTTTATGTAAGCGAACGGGAATGACATATTTATTTGTTCTGGAGCGATGATTTTTTTAAAAAAGCACGTTTCATAGCAAAAATTTGCCAAAACTTTAACTGAGAGCCATTGCTAGATTCTATGGTATTTTTTCTCGTTCCTTTTTTTTCTCGTTCTGTTTTGTCACATGAACCGTGATGTCAGCTTTTTAAGTTAAGATGACCATCCTTAGGCTGTTATGGACATGTCTCATATTGTTTCAGTCGTGACAGATGAAACCTTATTACACTTGGGTTCAAATGTTATTACGGATGGACTTTTATTACACTTGGGTCCAGTTATTACACTTGTGCGTTCCACAAGTTCCACTGACAAGAAATCCGGATCCCTGAAGCGAATTTGGCCTAAGAGGCAACCAAACATTTAGCCTCCTTTGGTGGCATTTTCTGGAGAGTCATATTTTCCATATTTCCTCCCTTACCTGCGACCAAGATATGTGTCATTCATACCAGTCTGTAAATAAAGCTAAGGGAAAATCAGAAAATTGAGGGTATAATGTTGTTGAGATTAAAGGTAAAAAAAAAAAATTCACACTTTTCGTTTGTGGGGAGGGAGGAATTACGAATCCCCTAAAAACTCCTGCTCATCAAGTCCAAGGCGGAAGAGGCACCTTTGCCCTCAAGCGAGGGCAAAAATGAAACAGTCCAAAGCTAATTTTATTTCATAAATGTTTTAGCGCACAGCATGGAAGAATTTCTTCCCTCCTTCCCAAATGCGCGGGGCAGAATTACGTGACGTGACATGCTTTGCATGACTGCACTGAAAGCTGGTTTGCCTGTGGCAGTTTGACAGTTGTTTTCATTCATTGCCGTAGCGGCAAGTGAAATTGTTACGGTTATAAGTTCAAATTCTTCACTCATTTCCTTCTGGGGGTCTTTCCGAGGAATCTTCTGAGAAGTTCTATGGACTCTTAAACTAACACAGTCTCAGGTGGGTTATTAATCGTTGGATTAAAAATTGTTAATTCGTTAAATCGCTGCATAAAATTCAGAAAACGGAACAGATTACTTGTGACTTTTGTTGTATTTTTTACCGCTTTGTGGACTTTTTGACACTTAGTACTTTAACTCAGCTTTATTTCAAAAAACCTATACACATTTCGGACCAATATTGTTTCGAGAAGTAACCGAATAATTAAAGGTTTGGCGCCTACCGTAATTCGCATTTGGTTGTGCTTCGGTCAGAGGTCACGTTTTTCGCCTGTTTTTAGTGTAACATTTACATTTGCTTCGCTTTGCCAGCGCTCGAGATTTCATTTGCCCAAAAATTTTATTTCGCTAATTTGAAGAAAAAAGAATGCTCTTTCAGGCTAAATAAGTCTTGGTGTTCAAAGCCATGTACCAATCCGCTTTTTTAGCTCGTGAAAAAGTGCTAAATTTTGATGGTTGATTAAGCGAGTTTGAGTCAACAACTTTAAAAATTTCTTAAAAAATCTCTTGTTGACCAAATCGCGAACTAATCAGTAAAAATTATAGAGGAAAGATAGTAAAAATACGAAGTGTCATTATATTTTAGTAGCCAACTTTATTTTAAAATATACGAGCCACTGAATATGACTCTAATTTCGCATGATTTTTGCCCATTTTAGGCCTCGAGAAGAAAAAAATTCGTTAAAAAAATATTATTCACTCGATCGTACTTAAACCAACGATTTTGTAACTAGGGCACATAGGGCTTTATTCTGGCTGAGTTTGAGGCCAGGCCATTTTTTGACTATTTCCACGTGTAGTTGATATTTACGCGGAGTCGCTCTTAATATTTCATAAATCATGCTTTAAGAGTATTCCACTTGTAATATGATTTTACGCATAGAAATGTTAACAATGAAAAAGTTTGTCATCTTTTGCATCTTGGCGTGATTTCCTTTCCTTCAGGGGCTACTGATTCGTTCTTCGAGTCGCTTTGTATTTGCTACCCTCTTCTCTTTTTACAACCACGATAGGGTCTTCACCCCAGTGAAGAACAGATTGTACAACATGAACTAAAAAAGAACAAGCATACAGATTGAGACTCGAACATTTCGGTGACTCTCACATTTACAAGTGTCGGCGCCAAGCTGAGAAGTACGCGGCTTTGCAGATCTTTGCCACAGTTTTCTCATTCTCTTAAAATGACATGAACTCTTTGTTTAAAATAGAAACTAAAGGTTAAGCTGTTGCCAGCCAACTCAAATTTTTTGTGAGTCATGAAAAGGACCATTCCTAATAAACGACATAACAGTTTATTTGAATAGAATCTTCGTGAAAAGCAAAACTAGCAGAAACGGGAACGTAAAGAGTCAAAGTAGCCGCGAAATAAGAAACGCAATCGTTCTAAATGAGTTTAGCACGTTCCTCAATATCAAATCTAAGGAGCAAAATTTTTTTACGGTTAAACTCTTTTTACCCTATTTACGGCTAACGGTTAAAATTTTTCAATTTTTACGGCTATCGACTAAATTTTGGGCCGTTTTACGCCTATCGGTTAACCCCATTGAGACCCTCGTTATACTCAGTAAAACTTTATTATAAAGTGAAAATGAGGGCAGGCTAGGTTTTGAGCTGTGGCCACTGTTTGCTCGATCTTTCTCTGCATTCGTACTGATCAACTTTTTTCTCTGCTCAACGTTTAGAGAGCGAAACCAATCGAAAAATCGGTAATCGAACTCCAATCGTTCGATTGACTTCAAGTGTGTTCGGTAATCGAACTTAATCAAAGTCACCCCAAGATTTTGCCAATCGAACATAATCGAACATTCGAAACTCGAACACTGCAACAATCGAAAATAAGCCAGTTTCATCTGGTTTCAAACAAGGTATTGCGTTCAAATAAGTTGCATGTATTGGCTTCAATTTCAAACACGAGTACGCAACGATGTCACAGAGGGTGGAAAACGTGAAATTAGCAATTTTGGAAGCGATGGTTAAAGGCTATTACGAGTGTTCTTTCGCCGTCGGTGTCGGTGAAAAAAGTATTGGTCCTTTTTTAATTATCGAAACTTTATGTTTCAATCTTTAATCTTTTTTTTATTTCACACCATATAAGGCATTTACACAAGTGTACATAAGTAGGAGAACAAAGTAGCTGATAATCATTAAGCTAAAAAACGTTAAGTTCATTTGTGTAGACTAGTGATGGTATCCTAAGAATACCCCGGTCGGTATTGTCCCGGGAAAACATTTCACATGCATGGTTTTACTGTGCCGTCAGCTGTGCTGTTCATCATGTTCTTCAGTATTAACTGTGAATTTATCGAATTTGAATCACTTAAACAATGAAGATTTTAGTTCATTCCAGGTTCATTGAAATATTTTTGTTTGAAACTGCTTCACATACATATTAGAGAAATGTTTCCAATTCAAATAAAACTGGATGCAGAGGATGCGTTTTGTCTTTCTGCCGAACAAAATCGAACTAATCGCGTCGATTGAGTTCGGTTAATAAATCGAATTGACTGAAAAGGTCCAGTTCGACTATGGTCGATTACCGAACCAATCGAACTGGGTTCGATTGATTTTTGGTTCGGTTTCTTTCGATTAGCTAGCCCCGGCTAAAAAGTCAGAGTTTTACTTTCCCCTTCGCAAACGTAAACGTCATCTCATCAAAGATACAAGATGAGGATATATCTTTTAAGGACAAAACGATTCTTATCTCGCTCAATAGCTGGAGAAATCGAGCTTCAGAAAAAAAAAAATTCGCTACGCTGTTTCAGTCGTTACGCCGTTACGGGGTTTACTAACAACCTGTTTTGGTTTTTCTTTCATTAGGTTTTCTTTTTTTAATTTTTTTAACCTCTTAAATTTTTATCCCGTTACTCGTTTTCTCGTTACTCCCATACTCTGTTTAGTAAGACCCCGTTAACAGTAATCAACATCCCATTGTTTATTCAACCCCGTATTTCCCCGGAGGCGGAATTCACAAAGTTCTCGCCTGACTTTTCAGTTTGCTGAGTTTTACGTGTATAAAGGTCCTCAGTCTGAACGTGAAGAAAATTGTCGAATGCGTTTGACGTAATGCCTACTGAATACTGCTGTGATTGTAACCTGAGATCAGGCTCTGTTTTCGTTTCGCTTTGAAAATTACATTCCGGCGGGCAAGGCAAAACGGTAGCCGTTAGATAGAATGTATGAGAACCGCTAAAATTGTTAATTAAACGAGACTTACCTGTAAGTCGTGGTTTGATTGAGATTCTACCGTAGCATTTGCAGGAATGAGGAGGTCACGTGAGATAGCAAGTATGCGATATCCGAGCTCAGTCTTAAAAGCGGTTTTGTGGGGCTTTGACAAAGCAGGAATGAGAGGTCACCAACAATAGGGATGGGGTAGGGCGGGATGTGACCTCCTCATTCCTGCAAATGCTACGGTAGAATCTCAATCAAACCACGACTTACAGGTAAGTCTCGTTTAATTAACAATTCTACCTCGCATTTGCATACAATCGGAGGTCACGTGAGACTTTAAAGCTCAAAGCCACAGAAAACTCAGACAACAAAAAGTGGTGAATGAACACAACATAATATGTAATATTTTGTAATAGGCCTCTTACATGATAGTAGTAAATACTGCAACAACAACTGGTATCGATCTAAGGCATTATTTGAATATGCACTGGCTCAAAGAAGGGAGTAATTTGAGATTACAATATATTATTTCTTATCTCCCAGAATTGCTGCAGCAAAGTTGTTTGTAGTGAGGACAGGGCGATCATAGAATTTAGCAAAAGTAGAATCAGAACGCCATCCAGCAGTGTTCATTATAACCTGAACAGGAACATTCAATGCTTTAGCTGCTGAAGTAGAGGCACCCCTAGTGCTGTGGGGTTTGAAAACCGTAGTATCAATTCCCGCATCCTTCATGGTTTGTTTTATCCAACGTGATATTGTGTCCCTTGAAGCTGGTCCATGAGGTTCAGCATGGCAAATAAGCAACTGCTTTGTCTCTTTCCTGAGAGGAGCGGTTCTTTTAACATAAGCTGAAAGTAGCTCCACGATACACAGTCGTTTGTCCAGGGGGTAACTATGAAAAGTAACAGGTAGTAAATGTCTGTTCTGGCCCCCTTTGGCAGTTGTTTGTTTTAGAACAGAAGAGATGCGAAAGACATACTTTCCAGGTAGGGTACTCATTTCTTCCAAGGACAAGGACTGTAAAGTCTGAACTCTCTGTGCAGACAATAGGGCCATAAGCATGACCAGTTTCAGGGTAAGCTGTTTCAGTGACATATCATCAATGGCTGGAAATGTCTTAAGGTGGTTAAGCACTATTTGGGGGTCCCAAGTCTCAGAGTAGCGTAGAAGGGCTGGCTTTTGATTAAACAGGCCAGTCATAAACCTTGACACCAAGGGGTGGTCACCCACTTTTACACCATCAACTTTAATGAAACTTGACAGCGCACTTCGGGCAGTTGCAACCGCACTATATCCCACACGTTTAGATTGCAGGGTAAGGAAATCAAGGACTTGCTGCAGCTTGGGATTGACTTGGCTGATGTTACAATCAGAGCAGTACTTTAACCAGGCTGTAATATATGTGCAGTATTGTTTGCGGGTTCCATCTCGCCATGACGCCACGATGATGTCCTGAGGTTCCCCCGTTATGCCTTGAGCAGCTAAGGATGCCCTGATAAGAGACATCCATGAAGTTGAAGTTTGGGATATAATGGGTGGACTTGTTCTGGTTGATGTGGGAGAATAATGGTTTTGCGGTGCATTTTGATCGATATTGGAGGAGATTTCATCAACTGTAGGAGCTGTGGGTACCACACCTGGGTTGGCCAGTATGGGTACACAAGTATGACTGTTGTTCTGCTTTCTTGAATAAACTGAAGGACTTTGCCTATGAGGCTGAAAGGAGGAAAACAATAGATAAGTTTATATCTGGACCAATCCAGAGTGAATGCATCAATAGCTGCTGCACCTGGATCTGGTTTCCAGGCTACATATGGAGACACTTTGTGGTTCAGCCTTGATGCAAACATGTCTATTTCAGGATCGCCCCATTTAAGTTTAAGTTCATCAAAAATGGTAGGGTCTAGGGACCATTCTGTATTACTGTTGTGTGATTCTCTGCTAGCTCTATCAGCTTCTGTATTTAATTTCCCTGGTATGTGAGAGATTGATAGTGCCAGCTGCCTCTGCATGCACCAGATGAGAATTTCCCTAGTTATATCATTGCAGTTCCTAGATTTAGAGCCACCCATACTGCGGATGTACGAGACTGCAGTTGTATTGTCACAAAGCACTTTGATGGTACAATTTGTAAGGTGACTGCAGAGTGACTGCAGTCCCAGAAGGATGGCTTTTAACTCTAGGAAATTAATATGAAGTTGGGATTCCTGGAATGACCATCTACCACTAGCAACACTTGAGGTACCCTCTATCACTGCCCCCCAGCCCGTAAGTGAGCTGTCGGTTGTCAGGGTTAGATGTGGGATTTGTGGTGTGATGGTTTGTGGATATTGGTCAACATTATTTATCCACCAAAGGAAGTCTTGTTTGCACAGGGGTGAGAGTGTTACTTTCCCCTCAAGATCCCAGCCATTTGCTTGCAGTGCATCAGTTTTGATATTCTCTAGAGATCTATAAAATAATGGCCCATAGTACACTCCTGCAAATGAGGATACCATCAAGCCCACAACTGAGGCCACCTCTCGGATTTGAGCAGGACCTTGTATCTGCACAAGGCTGTGACACTTAGATCGTACAATATCAGCCTTCTCCGGGATCATGGAGATGGTCATATTCTTAGAATTCAATATGAATCCCAAAAATTTGGCTATCTGAGAGGGTGTCGTGACAGATTTAGTATCATGGATTGTGAAGCCAAGTGCCCTGAGTAGGGCAACCGTGTCAGCAACTACTTGCGATAGCTGCTCTGGTGTTTCTGCCATTAGTAATATGTGGTCTATGTAACCCACTATTAGGTATCCTTTGGATCTTAGTGTTGCATAGACTGGTTTCATAAGCTTGGTGAAGACCCTAGGGGCCGAGGCCAGGCCATTTGGCAAGCAAGTAAACTCGTAAAGGGTTCCATTAAATTCAAACCTTAGGTATTTTCTGTGCTGGAGATTTATTGGTACAGAGTAATAAGCATCCTTGAGGTCTAGAACTGCCATCCAATAGTCCTTTTTAAGTAGTTGGGCAGCTGATTGGAGGGATTCCATTTTAAAATGCTGGTAAGTAACAAACTCATTAAGATTTTTGAGGTTCAGGATGAGTCTATGAGACCCATCTTTCTTTGGTCTTGTAAAGACCGAAGAGATGAATTCTCCATTGCAGTGTGTTGTCTTGCTCAAAACACCTTTATCAAGAAGTTTTTGAACCTCTACTGCAATAATGTGTTCATCACCTTTAGAAAATTTTATATAGGGCACATATGTTTGGTATGGTAACCGTTCAAAATCGATAAGATAGCCCGATACAATCTCAAGGATGCTTGGGTCTGAGGTAATAGACCTCCACTCAGAAAAGTGATGAGCTATGTTACCAGCAACAAAATTTTGTACAGCAGAATTTACCGTGTTAAGACCATGAGCTACTGTGATGACCTCTTGTTTGGGTTCATCTTTGGAGTCTCCTTGTGACGCCAAGGTCTGAATGTTTGGCCTTTGGAGTTTTTTGGATTCCGTTGAGAAAAAGTGTGTCTGTTTGTATTGCTGCTGCTGTAACCAGAAGGATTCCTCTGAGATCCTCTATGGTTTTGAACCTTTGCACCAATCTTGTTTACATCACCTATGTCCTTCAACTGCTTTTGGAGGTCGTCACCAAAAAGCAGGTCTGTGAATGGTACATGAGGTGAGCAAAGGGCGGCGTAGTCTTTGCCAATGTCAGGTTTCATGAGCTGTTTTCGCTGCATGTTTAGTTCATAGTTTACATGCGTTAGTAGTGACAGGGCATCAAGCCCAAATTTCTTGATCAGCTGCATGCCCTCTTTGTCTAACCCATGCTTTTCTGACATGGTCAGGTCTGTCAACCGGGCGACCGGGATTATACCCTTAACGAGGGCTTGCTGCATCTTGTACAGTTGTAAGTCCCTCTTTTGCGTGTGCTCACGAAGTTTTCGCCAAATACCCGGGTTGACACGTGTGGGTTTTACAGTTTCACAGTTTTCCGGTCGAGCTTGTCGCTCGAGCTTCTCTTTAAGGACTTTGTCTGGCAAACGATTGCGAAACATCTTGCCAAGGAGCTTGGCAAATTGTGGGTTTTGAATGTTCTTCCCGATAGAGTCTTCAGACTCGTACTCTTTCTGTAGTTCTGTAAGCGTTTCATCTTCGTCGCCGTTACCGAGATCGTCAACATCGCCGGCAAAATTAGCCATGAGTGTTTGAACAGCCTCGTTATCCGAGGTATTTTGCTCGCTCGAGGAGCTCGAGCATTCTTTGGCGGGCTTTTTGGCGGGAACGGCATTTTGATGTTCCTGGCTCGGTCGTTTGCCAGGGCCTTTACCCGTCGTAGAAGGCTTTTCCTCCAATTTGTCGAGTCTTTTTGACACATTTAATATTGCCAGGGAAAGACTCTTAAAGTCGGCAGCGGACAGCGAAACGTTCGCGCCGCTTGTGCCAGGCTCGGCCGCCATATTTTTATCTTCTCCAGAGTCTTTGAGTAATTCTCCTTCGTCCAGAACTTCATCCGATAGCGGGTCGTCGTTGAGCGCCTCGTGTTCGCCTATCTGCGACATCAGGAACGGTCGGTCAGAATAACGTCGGAAACGCAGTAAAAATCCTTAAAGAACCTCTCTCTATAAGTTACACAACTGACTTGCTCGGACACCAAACTTGCACTGAGCTCGGATATCGCATACTTGCTATCTCACGTGACCTCCGATTGTATGCAAATGCGAGGTAGAATTGGGCCTGATCTCCGCTAGGTTACTGTGATTGTCACGAGAAAAAGGTTCACAGGAATTGAAGCCTGTTTATATCTCCGGCGCAACTTTGTTTAAACTTTTCCGCTAACAAGCAGTTTGAGACTTAAACTCCGTCTTTAATCATCAGGGGCACCCAACTGCAATTTTCGGAAAATATCTGTTCGGAAGACGATTTGAGATCTAGAATTTTCGGAACATTTGTTGAAAAATTTGTTGCTTGCCTGCCTCTCCTAGGATTTTCGAACATCCACAAAATGGTATAATCACCCATTTTTAACGGATTTTTACCCCAAAAAAGGCCACCTAGAATTTTCGGGAGCCTTTTCGTGGCTAAAATTTTCGAAAAGGTAAGTTTTGATCCCTATAATTTTCTGGTCATGTTGAAACGCAGACCATGCAGACTGCAGACTGTGCAGACCGTGCAGACTGTGCAGACTGTGCAGACTGTGCAGACTGAGTGTTATTTGTTTACTTGCGCCTTAATTTTCTAGTACAATTTTTACTATAGTTTCCTGCTTCCTCTCATTATGTGCGCTGGGCATCACCATCATATGTGCACTGATGTGTACCTGCAAGGGTCATGGGTAGGAAATGAGAAAGTCACGGGCTCATGTTTACCGGCAGATGTAAAAGCAGTTTCGCGTACTTTTAGCTGCGCCGCTTCCACGCAGGAGTGAGCACGATGGAGGAAGGTAAGCTGTCTCTTTCTGTAACTGTATTATATTGCCACGATTATTTAATTTTTTGGTACAAGTAGCTTTTTCAGGTTAAGTGACTTAAAATAGAACCCTTTTCGGCTTCCTACAACGGCTACGAGAGAGACATTTCCTCAATTTCCTTGATTGTCGATGATCGTCTTTGGTTTCACTCTGTAATTCAAACCGGTGACTTGCCGTCATTTCTTCAAATCTTACAGATACCGATCTCAAACCGAGACGTTTGAGAGATGGGCCTTGCTTTAAAATGTGTAAATAAATCAACGGTAAATCTACCTCGAAATAAATATTCTGATTTCCACATGTTTGGCGGTTCCGTAAGCGTCAGAATTAAGAGAAGAAGGGCAGCGACTTGAAACTTCTCACAGATGATATTCAATGAAAATTAAGACAAAATATACCTAAAATACACGGCAGGGGATCTAGTTCAATGTACATCAAAACCCCCTCCACATCTTCGAGTTGTACAAATAATACATTTGTTACTAATGAACTATTTAGTTTTGGAGCTGCATAAACAAGAACCATGATACTCGAGCAAGATCGTCGGTTTCAAACCACTACCACTTGTTGGGTAGTTTCGAAAACGAAGCACTCGAAGACGAAGGCCGAAGCACGAAGCACCCAAATCTCGAAAACGAAGCACCCTAAACTCGAAAACGAAGCACCCTAAATCTCTAAAACGAAGCACCCAAAACTCGAAAACGAAGACCCCTAAATCTCGAAAACGAAGCACCCAAAAACTCGAAACCGGTCTGTCCTTTATAAACACGAGACCAATGCTAATACAG